CGGCGGCTCCGGCTCCTTCTTTTTCTCCTCCTGCTCCCGCTGTTCCTCCGGCGGCGGCAGCTCCTCATCGAGGAGGTCGCGGTACCTGCGGCGGAGGACGATGTCCTTGGAGGCGCCGGGGGAGGCGGCGGGGTGGACGGTGGCCAGGGAGTTGACGAGGCTCTTGAARTACTCGCGGCGCTCCCGCCGCTGCTGCTCCGTCAGCGCCGGGTCACGGAGGAACCGCTGGAAGTGGCGGAGCAGCGCCGTGTTGGGGGCTCGTCCCCCGGCCGCCCAGAGGAAGTCCAGCACAGCCTCCTGGCTCAGCTCCCGCGCCATGCTCCGGGCCGGCCGGCTTTCGGTCCTGGGTGCTGTGTCTCGGTGCTTGGCTCTGCACCCAGGTGCGGCGGGGAAACCCGCCTCCTGCCGCGCCGGGCCTCTCCGCCTCCTCCTCCTCCTCCGCAGCCGGGCCGCCACCCTACGGTCGCCTTTGCCCGGGGTGGCGGCCCGTCGAGGTGCGWGCTGGGGTGACAGCGCTGAGAAGTGACAGCGAGGGAGAGGAGCAGGGTAGGGGAGCGGGAGGAGCTGAGAAGTGTAAGGGTCAATGAGACCAAAGAGCTGTTTATCAGTCATTGTATCAGTGAATGGACAGCGGGTCATAGGCACAAACTGAAGTGCAAGAAATTCCATTTGTGAATGAGGAAAAGTTGTTTTACAGTGGGAGTAGTCAGCTACAGGAACAGGTTGGCTGCAGAGTGTAGCCTATCCTCAGGGAGATTCAATGGTCCATGGGGCCCCTGAGCACCAGACATGCCTCCCGACCTGAACTGCACCGTGATGCGGTGACTTAGGATAACTGGCAGTAAAGATTCACAAATGTGCTGTGGTTTGGGCTAGCTGTCATTGTGTGTGGGATTGTACCCGTGTATGACAACCACACACAAATACCAAGAGTGTCTGCAGTCAAAATCCCATCATCTCATCTCATCTCATCTCATCTCATCTCATCTCATCTCATCTCATCTCATCTCATCTCATCTCATCTCAATCTCATCTCATCTCATCTCATCTCATCTCATCTCATCTCATCTCATCTCATCTCATCTCATCTCATCTCAATCTCATCTCATCTCATCTCATCTCATCTCTGTATTTGCTGTGTGGCTGAGAGAGTTTGGACACATGTTGTACTAGTGTGGGGATCTCACTTTGTTCTGTACTGCTCATGCTGTTGTCACAAGAGTGTACATGGGATGGATAAGATCAGTGCCCCAGTGGGCAAGGTGCCCTGTGCACACCAAACTAATGACAGCCCCTGCCCCAAGCAGTTTGGGGAATGAATAGTGTGGAGAAAGTGTGGATGAGAGGGTGTGCTGGATTTTCTGTACTTTCTGTCTTGCAGTCAGAGAACGGAGGGAATGAGTTCAGTGTAGGCTCCCTGGCTTTAAAGAGGTCTGGATCAGGCCCTCAGTCGCACTTCAGAAGCCATCTCTGCTGCAGGCTCCTGGCTATCCATAAATATTTTTAGCTGCCTGTCATGTAAGCAGCTGGAATACCCTACAGCATACTTCAAACCCAGAAATGTGTGCAGCCCTCACAAGCCACAGASAGAGATTGCAATAGATGCTGTGGACAAGCTACATCCCATCARTGGTGTTCATCTAGATAGGGCACAGGTGCTGGAGAGAGCGTTAAGTCTTGTGTTATGTTTTATAATTTTGCACATTCCTTTGGTGCTGTTTTCCAAGACATGAATACATTTCTCCCTCCTCCTCTGGTGAGCCCTGAATTGCAGTCACAACAGCATTTGGTAGCAGYGTGCTCAGTGGAAACTGCTGAGATGAAATGAATGGAGCATAATGGTTGTAATTGGGATCATGAAAAAGAAAGGAGGGTAGATTTTGAAGGTAAAAAAATCCAAATAAACAACATTAGCAAATGGCAGCACTATTATGAAAAAGTGTTACTTTGAATTAATGAACTCAGRCTTAAGCAGGACGCTTTCCATGATACCACATTGGCTGTGACCCATTTGGTTGTGACAGTCTGTTGATGCCCTTTGTAGGCACATGCCAAAGTCTGCAGAGAGGGTAGCTCCCTTTGGTTCAGAGGCAGACTCCTTGTTACAGCCCTGCAAAACATGTTTTGTGTTTCAGGGGGTGTAGTGCTGCAGGCAGGCAAGGAAAAGCTCAGCTCAGCTACCTGGACTTGCTTCATCACCCACTTCATKCTAAGAGGTTTAAAGAGACTCTTGTTTCCCATTATTGTCCCATGATTTACCCTCTCTGCAAGTTGATCACGAGTCTTCAGAATGGCTGAACTTACCCTGGTCTTACCCTCTGGACACAGCAGCTCTCTTTGGGTGAAATTTGAGTGAACATTGAGTAGAGCTAATCAAAATATGGAAGACAAGTTCATGCATTACTTCAACATTAAAGAAAAAAAAAATCCCTCCACTTAGTCTTAGTAGCTTTCTGTTGTCCCAGATACTACCTTTAGGGAGCTATGTGCCCATGTCTATGGGCTATGTCTGTCTTTAAAGAGGAGGGAAGTTACCAAACTTCTGTGTCTGCTTGTGTGTCTTCTTATCCCTTTTAACTGACAAATTGCCCTGCAATGACACAAAAGGGCGTTAAAGCGACTTTTTTGTGCTGTCTGCAGAATGATGCTCAACAGCTTCAGAAACATGGAAACCATTCCTGTGGGGTCACTAGGATGAGGGGCTGGCAATTCCCTTTGCCTGTGTATTGATTTGTTAGCAGTAGGTATGAACCTTTCAGGAGTGAGGGGTCTGCTTCTTCCTGCTGAACACTAGTGCAAAGAACTGCACTAGCTGAGAAKATTGCAGAACATTTCTTTGTGCTGATGTTTTTTCCTCCCCTGCTCTTCCAGCATGAACAGCCATACCCAGGAAGGTGTGYATGCATGAGTGTCATGGAGGAAACTCGGCCACAGCTCTCCCACCTCCGGGCCAAGGAAGGACACGGTGAGTCACATCAAGGTTTTGTGAGCACAGGAGATTTTCATGTTGGTTAAGTTATGCTGATGCAGGAGTATCATGCATGCCTTTAATTCAGATGAGGAGAAGCTCTGTCTGCCTCACCCACAGTGCAACAAGGGCAACTCTTTAGATAGGATCATCAGGTTTCCACTAGAGGCTGCACTGGTCCGGGCGCATTTCCCGGCACACTCAGCACCTCAGCTGGAGCTGTGCGTGCGGGAGGAATTTGCTACAAGAGCAATAATGAGTCTAATAGTGAATCCTCCCTCGGGTATTAGCATTAACGCCTAACMTGTTAGAGTGATAAAAGCACTGCATCAGCTATTCTTGCAAAATATTCCTGGTAGACACCCTTGGATGTGTGCTGGTGATGGCCAGGGACAGACACTCAGCCACTGGTGGAGAGCAGGATCAAGTAGTGCACTTCCATTGGTTCTGGTTCAGGCTGGGGGTGCAGGAGATGGTGTGGGTGACAACTAACCATGATCAGCTTCTGAGTTCTTCAAAACACAATCATAAAAGCTGCAGGAAGGAGATACCTGAACTTTGTAGCTTTCTGCAAACAGCCACATGTTACTACAGAGCTGTACAGAAATGGCTTTTGGAGGGAAAAGGTACAAGCTTGACATGAAAGGGAGTACAAATGATAAGTGAACTGCAGAGGTTTATTTGCTTACCACTAACCTGGRTCATTTACTCGTGCTCTCAGCTTTTATTCGGCTGGCTTTTTTTCTTTCGATTCTGTGGATGTTCACCTATGGGAGTAGCTCTGGTGTGTCCATAATCCAGCGTTTCCTTCATGTGTGCAGCAAATAGGGTTTCTGTCTTCTGCAGCCCTTTGGGGTTTTATRTTTCACGAAGCAATGCAGGGCCCTTTCTTCATCACTACCTTGGGTGAAGATTTGGAAGCAGATATGTTGAGCTTAGCCCTTAAACTCCCACCTTTGCAGGTAAAAGGATGTCATGCTTAACAGCAGGATGTTAAGTGTTCGGCAGCTGGACCAGCAAGGAGCCGCCTATGCTTCTCTTCATCCCTGGAAATAATTCAGTGGAGTCGGAGAGCAACTGGCCTCTGTGGCTGCTGTTTGGTATACCAAGTTTGTTGAAAAAGAGCCGTGTGTGTGTGTGTTTGACAGAAGAGAAGAGCTCAGAGAAACAAGAGGAATGAGGCAGCAGGTTTTGCCCTCTGTGTTATTATACGAGGGAGTTAAGGGCTCCTGTGTGTCTCCCTGTTAGAAATACCTCTTTGCCAAATCCCTGTACTCCTTCATGCAGCTGCTGGTAGCAGAACCTTGCTGATG